ACCCTGAGATCACAACCTGAGCCAAGGGCAGATGTTTAACTGACTAAGCCATCCAGGCACCCCAAGAATTCTTATCAATAAGCAGAGAAATGCTACCAAGTACAATGAATCTGAAATCATGGAAGAAAAACAACAACAACAACAACAACAACAACAAAACCATACCATCCCCATTTTTAGGTTTAATCATTCGAACACCTGAAAGGAGACTCCTGGACCCAAATTCAGGACTTCTGGCTGCTATAAAAACTATCACCAATCAAACCCCAGTTCCGATTCCTGGCTCTCAGGAACATACTCGGTAGGCATTCATTTCTCAGTGACACAGATTTATTCCAATGTCCCCAGCTGACAGGCAGAAATCCCCTTATTTTTCCATTCACTCAGCATCCCTCAACACCCTCCCCACCCCCATCCTTCATTCTTAGTCTCTAGCACCTATGCGGGCACTAGTCTCACAGCCGGCTGGCTCACTGTGACCTCACAGGCTGGGCCTCCAGGTTTCCCTCCTACCCCAGAACACTTCCATCATCAGCTAAAAGCCGACAGAGGCTTCTAAAGGATAAGATCGAATTCATACTGGTTTTTCTTATCTCACTCCAATTCTACTTTCTTTTCCACCATGGCACAGTCTCCCGACCCCATTCTAGTGTTCCTATCTCAAACACAACAAGCACCCCCTGTTCCCTCCCATCCCTCTGGCGAGGTCCAGTTCAAGTCACGCTCCCTCCACACAGCCCTTTCCAATGTCAGCTCTTACCAGTCGCTGCCCTCCCTACATTACAGTGTGTGATACAACTCAGCATCTCATGAAATACCAGTTCCTCAGTAAGTAGTAATTGTTGTGATCTTGGATGGATCATTTAACCTCTACAGGCCATTTCCTCAACTAAAAAATAGTAAAAATCAAAATTAAGAGATTTTAAAAGGTCTTCTGTTCTAAAAATCATCTAATTTTGTATACTGCCATATCCTGTTTCACATACTAATTTCACTTCTCTTATTTGATTTTAAAGTTCCTCAAGGGAGAAAGTATTTCTTTCCCAACTCTCAAAGCAACTTATCCCAGGATGTGGCTCAAGGAGATGCTCAGTAAATGTGACATTAAAACAGGTCATCAGCACCGAGATAGAAAGCTTCAAAGAGCCAAGTGTGAACCCAAGACCTATTTCTTTTCTTTTCTCTCTCTCTCTTTTTTTAAAAGAAGATTTTATTTATTTATTTGACAGAGGCAGTGAGAGAGTGAATACAAGCAGGGGGAGCGGGAAAGGGAGAAATAGGCTTCCCACCGAGCAGGGAGCCTGATGTGGTGGCTCGATTCCAGGACCCTGGGATCAGGACCTGAGCCAAAGGCAGAGGCTTAAGGACACCCAGGCACCCCAAGATTTTTAAGTAATCTCTACACCCAACGTGGGGCCCAAATTCACAACCCCAAGATCAAGAGTAGAACGCTCCACCAAACGAGCCAGCCAGGCACCCCTCAAGACATATTTTTTTTTTAAAGATTTTATTTATTTATTTAACAGACAGAGATCACAAATAGGCAGAGAGGCAGGCAGAGAGAGAGGAGGAAGCAGGCTCCCCGCTGAGCAGAGAGCCCGATGTGGGGCTCTATCCCAGGATCCTGGGATCATGACCTGAGCCGAAGGCAGAGGCTTTAACCCACTGAGCCACCCAGGCGCCCCTCAAGACCTATTTTTAAAGCAGTATTGAAAAGTGATAAAGGTAGTTAGTGCCAGACAAGTAGAAGACACCAAGATGATCCACTGTTGGTTCTTTTCTAGAATTAAAGGTCTGCCTTGATAGAACATAAGCTGCTCGCTTGAATGCCATGAACACAAGTGTGAGAGCTCAAAATGGTCTCTATTTTTTTAAAAAAGATTTTATTTATTCATTTGAGAGAGAGATAGAGATCACAAGTAGGCAGAGAAGCAGGCAGAGAGAGAGGGGGAAGCAGGCTCCCCGCCGAGAAGAGAGCCCAATTAGGGGGCCTGATCCCAGGACCCTAAGATCATGACTTGAGCCGAAGGCAGAGGCTTAACCCACCGAGCCACCCAGGCACCCCTCAAAATGGTCTCTTAATTTGCACACAGCTCTGTCTGAAGTGTGGGTACGTAAGTCTCTGAACAGCAGACGCGACTTTTAGGTAAGCTCGGATATACTGTGTACTCTAGGGGAGAGAATTCAGAGGCCTTGTTCGGTGGAGAACCCCTGGGACTATCTGAAGCCTACGGGGCGATGGCAGGGAAAGTGAGTTCATTTTGGCCATGCAAGGCTGAAACCTCCAACAAAAAGCAATTCCTTCCATTCTGTGCCCCAATGCCCTCCTCCTCCCCTCCAAAAAAACACGTGCTTTTGTAAGACGAACAGTAACAAACACAGATATACCAAAGCATTTAGTTCTATTTTAGGCTTCCAAGAAAATGTTTTTATTTTTCTCTCTTCTCAGGGCAGCACAAGTCAATATGTAGATGGAAAGTAAGCAAGCGGCCTGCTGGAGGATGGGGTCCACATTAACCAGAGCTAACCAGGAGCTCGAGGACAGTGAGAGGAGTAAATCCCTGGGAACTCCAGTCAGAGGTAGAGGCCCAAGCCCCTTGCCACTCCATTACCCTCAAATAAAACGTATTTAGTACCCATGTGTATATGCCCCCCCCTTATGGAGAGAGCAGACAGAAGCTCTATTTCAATCAAGTCAAACTGGTCAATGCTATTCCAGCCACTTCTAAACATGTTTTGGCTCACAGCTAACATCCTAAAGAGCTATCAAATCAAATCAAAGCCCCTCAAATGAAATCAGTTACTCCTTGAATAATCAAATGAAGGAAACACTGCTTTTTGAAATAACAGCTCTTAAGACAAAGCAATATCCCTCCTTCTCAATCGGCTGTTTCACAGAATTTCGAGACAAAGGGCAACTACTATATCGTCACTTTTTTTTTTTTGGAATAAAGCCACAAGATTACTAATAAACAGCTAACGGTCACCATTCAAAAGTAATAATGACATTATGACTTCATATGCCAGTTATCTACCAAATTGGAAAGAACCAAATATATGCATTTTTCTCTCCCCAAAGAAAATCTGGAAGTAAATGTGCCCTCTGACTCACTTTCTCTCCCATCAGAACAATTTCTGGGGGAATGTTAAACAGTATCATCTTCCCTAATTATAGGATGGGAGAGAAGGGGTTCACAGTTGTTCGAGAGTTTACAATTTAAGTTGGAGAACTTATGAGATGCTCATGGTCTAGGTCTAGGATACACTTCAGTGCCTGAAAATTATTAAGAATAGACCTCAAATCCATATTTTCGTTTTGTTGCTTTAGTGCTACATACATAATGGAATAAACTTAGAGAAAAATATGAACTACCGGGCTTCCAGATTCAAGTTTCTTGGGTAAGCTCGATGGAGAAACCCCAGTTTGCATTGTGGGGAAAAAAAAAATTGTTCCTGCTGGGTTTCTGCAGAGGTTAGAGACATGAGCAGCCGATCTTTTTTAAAATCCCATTACAGTTAACTCACAGTGCTGTATTAGTTTCAGGTGTACAATATTTGAGTAGCCAATCTTAGGATGGTACCACGACTGTTTATCTGCTAAAAACAGTCATCACCTATGGAAACGTCAAATTACTCCTCTGTACGTCCATGATAGAGTAATTTAACAGTCTAAGCTCTCTCCTTTGCTCTGACTTCTAGCTAAGAAAAAAGAAACCGAAAACGTATGTTACTCTAAAACCCACAGCTGGTTCTGTCTGCTTTCTGACACTTCAGTGCTGACTTTGAGAATATGCTTGGGGAGCCTGGCATCCCAAGGACAGCTCTGAAAAAAACACTTTCCTTCCCCTTAAAGGACTCTTCAAAATTGCCTTCTAAGAAGCACAACCTACATGTCTAACGTCAAGACACTTTGGGGTGGAACTCTGTGCCTCAGGCAAGGAGAGCAAAATAGTAACTACCCACAGGTTGGCAGGACTCAAAAAAGTGGGGAAAAAAATCAGCAGTCTTTTTATAGGGGACCACATTTCTACATTTCCACTTTCTTTCTCTTTGTAAAATATTAATAATTTCACTCAGGGGTAGTAAACAAATGCGTGGCAAACTCCCAACCATCAGAAAAATGTCAGAACTTGAGAGGCAGCGAACCCGGGATACGCAAATGCTAAACTTCAGGTTCTCCTGTAGAGCTGACACATTATTCGATAACACCCACCCTTGTAAAAATAAATTACATATCCAAAAGGGCAGGCTGCTGCCGTCAATTGGGTAAACAACATAATTACCATGTGCCAGGTGGAAAGCGAATCCTCATGTAAATAGTTTGGGCTCGGAATGAGCTGCAAACTGGAAAGCAGCTTATTTTTAAACTGTCAGCAGGTTTCTTTTGTGCAATTAGACTGTAATACAGGGTAATTGCTCAAGTTTCTTTTCAGAAAATCGCCATCTGACTCGTACAATAGCAAGACAAACCTAAGGATTTAGGACTCCACTGGTTTTTTTTTTCACCAAGAATTAAAAGACACTGAGGTTCTTTAATGAGTTCTGGCATATACTTCTAACCACCTCTCCAACTAGCCTCAGGTTCCGGACTGCAAAAATCTCTTGACTGGGTAAAGTGAGACTAATTGAGTGCTTTTACATAAATAGTTCAAGTTTAAGTCTTAACAACAACAATAAGGACAAAAACCCTTCCCCTCATACACTTCTTTGCTACAATCATGCTGCTTTGACTTTCCCTGAATTACCAACCAACAGCAAACAGAAATACTAGAGGCGTTCACACAAAGGCAGTTAAAGACCATACATCAACCCAGCCCTCGTAAGTCATATTTAATATTCCACTCAGCATCTGTGTCAGCTATCCGGAGCCCACCCCACGGTAAATGGGAAAAGTGGGCACCAAGAAAGGAGGGCCTCTGCTTCTTTGTGTTATCAGGGCAAACGAAGGTAGATGAGTACAACAGGAGGCCATCTCAGCATTTGCGTGGCATCACACTTACCTTGAGGATGTCCCCCCTTTTGAAGCTCAGCTCGTCGTCCGCAGTAGCTTTGAAGTCATATTTGGCGATGGCTTCCATTCTGAGTGCTGCTCAGGGCTCAGCAGCCTGAAGCCGGGGGAAGGGAGTCTTCCCTGCCGAAGCCACCCAGCACTCTGGGCTCGGCCTCGCCGCTCTCCCGGGACTCGCTCGTGCACTCCGGGACACACAATGCTACCCTGAATCACAAGAGGGATGGGTGAGAGAAGTGGCCAGCACCGAAGGCAGCCCCGCCCTGCCGATCGGCCCGCAGCCCCAGCCCCCACGCCCCCTGGCTCGGCCCCGCTCGGCCCGCCTCCCTCGCTCGCAGGCAGACGCCCCGATCGCCTCCTTCCTCTTCGCAGTCTCAGCCCCCAGGCGACTGACAGGCCCGCCGGCCAATGGCGGTCGCCGCTCGAGCTATTCCCGAACACACTTCCTCTTCCTTCCCGCTGGGTGTGCGCGGTGTGCAGGAACCGGCTGGAGCCCCGCTCAGTCTCCGCCTTTCCTCCCTCGCCCCTTATGCTCCGCTCCTCCGGCTCGAGATGCAGTCCACTCCAAGAAAGGCCTCGCCCTGGGGATGGGACCCCGCTTTTCTCAGTGGCACGGGCCCATCTCCTTCCTTTCTCCCTGCCAAGCTTTCTGGCTTTCTGAAAACGCTGGGTCCCCTACCCAGTCCAAAGCAAGCAATTCCGGCTCTGGTCCTGAGCTGCTTGACTGTGCTCAGAAACTAACCTTTGGTCTGCCCCTAGGAAAGCAGGAGAAGGTGAACCTCGGAACTCCTTTATTAAATCCAATTTGCTGTTCTGAGCAAGGCAACTCCCCACTGCTACTGCCAAACTGCTCAGCAAGCTCAGGTAACCAAAAAAAGGAGATCCGGCCGCATCAGAGCCTTTTGTGGGTGAAGACCTGCTCTTGCCTAAGACACCTTCTCCCCTGAACACCCCCAAGGCTTTGGAGTCCCAACAGCCCTTGAAATAGATGTCCAAGGTCCAGCATTTCCAGAAGCATCCTCCACATTATTTCCAAACACCCTAGGGAGCAAAGCTGAAGTCCTAACTACACTTGAAAGGAATCCCTTTTTCAGAATCTGAGCTGCCAGATGCCTTATCTGGGGATGAAAGAGCAGGGAGATGGTGCCAGTAAATCAAACAGAAGCCTCTCACAGTCACCCTGACAACAGCTGCTCTTCTCAGAGCCAGAGGGCTTCTAAAATGAGCCAAACTGCATTTTGCAGGTAAAGATTCTGTAATAACCTTTACTGTACTACGTGATGTGGAATGGTGGGCATTCAGTCTCCAGCCACCGACATGGACGTAATCTAGACCTCTGCCTAAGGAAAGGAAAATAAAGCCCCATTCTTGTTTTCAGTTCGTGTTTTCATACAGGCTAAATAAAAGCAGAAAACAACACTGACAGTGGCAGAACGGGGACAGATTATTTATAGTGACACCCTTCTTGGATAATTACCACCTAGCAGAAAGCTCATCTGAGGGGCACGGGTGATTATTATTCTTTTGTTCTAAAGTTAACAACTGGGGCATTAATCAAGCATAGCTGCAAATGGACTAAGCAGTAAGCCAGCTGGGAATATTAAGATTAGAAGGAAATGAGTGTTACCAAGGAGGGAAGAAATCACCTGGTAATAAAAAGTCCTTCAGGGACGCCTGGGTGGCACAGTGGGTTAAGCCTCTGCTCAGGTCATGATCTCAGGGTCCTGGGATCGAGCCCTCAGACTCTCTGCTAGGCAGGGGGCCTCCCCCCCCCACCTTCTTGTGATTTCTGTCAAATAAATAAATAAAATCTAAAAAAAAAGTCCTTCAGTCAAATTCTGAAAGCCACACATTCTACCGCAGGGAAACTAATCAACCAAACCAACGTTTATTCTATCAGGCCATACCTATGATATTTCAAGTGGGGCTGGCTCTAAAAGAGGGAAGACAGAGCACTAGCAAATACATATATATATATATATATATATACATATATATATGTCTCTTTTTTTTTTTTAAAGATTTTATTTATTTATTTGACAGAGATCACAAGTAGGCAGAGAGGCAGGCAGAGACAGGAAGGGAAGCAGGCTACCTGCTGAACAGAAAGCCCGATCCCAAGACCCTGAGATCACGGCCTGAGCCAAAGGGAGAGGCTTTAACCCAATGAACCACCCAGGCGCCCCTCATTTTAAGTTTTAAGTGATCTCTACACCCAACATGGGACTCAAACTCACAACCCCAAGATCAAGTCCCATATTTTCTCAACTGAGCCAGCCAGGGACCCCTCAGAGTATTTATTTTTGTGTGTCCTTAAACACCCTTTATTTATTCTCTCTGTAGTTGCTTTTTTTTTTTTTGGTCAAACTAATCCATGTATATAATTTTGAAAGTCTCTGCTTTTAAAAGGCTTGTTTAAAAAAAAGGGCAGTTCCCCACCCCAACACCTACCAGCAATCACCCTCAATTTTGTCTTTTGCTTTGTACTTACTTCCAGTATTTCTAAACAATATGCTTTTACTGCTGTTTCTTAGTTTATTCCAGCCACGATCTATCGCTTGCGAGACATTGACCCCTGCCGGCATCCCCTTGCCCATCCAGTAATACCATGAATTCCGGTTTAAGCAGTTCACATTACAAAATATTCTTCACTGCTGATTTAAATATATTACAAGCAACTTTCCTTTCTGGTACAATCCTTTACTTTTCCCTGGCATTAATAACTGCTTTTCCTTTTCTGCCTACTTTCCAATGCGTGTACCTATTTTATTGTGCTACAAATGTTCCAAGATCTTTGCTACATGCCTGTCAATACTTTCAATATTTTCTATCTGACCAGGTAATTTATTTTAATTGGTGTCCAGGGCTGATTGTTGGGACTATGTTTCAATGGTAGGAAGCTGAATTGAGCAGATCTAACAAGTAGAAAGAGTTCCATATTTGAAAAACAGAAATCAGAAAATCAGAAACTCAAAAGCATTGTCATAGTCAAGGTAGTATGTTGTAACAGGAACAAACTTCTAAGTCATTCGGGATTTCAGACAACTACAGTGTGACTAAACAGAAATGGCATAAAAACCAAGACGGTTTTCAACACTGGGTTTTCCTGTGACCGAACTCATCTACCACGGGATTCCTAGAAAAAGCATAAACAGACTAACACTCTTGAAAACCATGTTTCACGTAACTATGGCTTCATGAGATACAGTTTGAGAGAAATGAAAACCAGGCATAATCAATACTTCCGTGGTTGTGCCGAATAAAAATAAGCAGCTCATAGAGAAAACCTGAAGGGCTCAGCTTACGAGGCTAGCCGCTGAAAGAGCACACAGGCTAAAGGAATTCAGAAGGGTGTGTTTCATTAAAGGCAAAAACAAAAACAAAAAAACCCACTCACAACCCTAAAAACAAACAAACAAAAAAGCCCCAACAACATACCCACAAAAAAACTATCATACACAACACTAATAACTAAAAGAAGAAAACTGAAACTGGACGCAATGTATAATGATTTTAACAGAGAAGATGGGTTGAGAGTACATTTGACACTGAACTCTAATGAGAATGGTTAAGCTGATCCAGCACACACCCTGCAGCCCATCACAAGCAACAAATTTTATTTTATTCATTTATTTATTTTTTTTTTAAAAAAGATTGCATTTATTTATTTGACAGACAGAGATCACAAGTAGGCAGAGAGGCAGGAAAAGGGAGAGGGGGAAGCAGGCTCCCCGCTGAGCAGAGAGACTGATGCAGGGCTCGATCCCAGGACCCTGGGATCATGACCTGAGCCAAAGGCAGAGGCTTAACCCACTGAGCCACCCAGGCGCCCCCACGAGCAACAAATTTTAAGGACACAAGTGCAGGAGCCCCTGCAGTGGGTTTAGCGTCTGCCTTCGACTCAGGTCCTGATCTCAGGGTCCTGAGATCAAGCCCCACATCAGGCTCCCTGCTCTTGGGGGGGGCCTGCTTCTCCATCTCCCTCTGCCTGCTGCTCCCCCTGCTTGTGCTCTCTCTCTGTCCAGTGAATAAATAAAATCTTAAAAAAAACAAAAACAAAAACAAAAACAAAAAACCTTAAGTGCAGCCTGAATTGTTCATGGCAAGCAATGTGCACTGAATCCTCAAATGCAGTCCTCTAGGGATACTTGTAGGACTTTATTTTCTTTCTTCCATTTAACTCTCTTCTTCCCCAAATTCACAGAACATAAAATACACAACAATCACTGGGCAATACAGCTTAGTGTCTGCATGGTCTCTAAAAGCAGGCTGACCGGGGTTCAAGTAATGACCTTGATGCTTACCAGCTATAATTCTGGGTAAGCCTTTTAAATGAGTCCCATTTCTTATCAGTAAAATGCGGATAGTATCACCTACTTTATAAGATTCATTCATTATTAAGGTAATACAGATAATATAGATGAAGTGGTTTGAACAGGGCCCAACATTAAGTTACTCAAAATAAGTTAAAATGTGATTCTACTTAAAACATAAGATGTTCAAGGATGCCTGGGTGGCTCAGTCGATTGGGCCCTGCCTTTGGCTCAGGTCATGATCCTAGGGTCCTGGGATCGAGTCCCACATAGGTCTCCTTGCTCGGCAGGGAGCCTGCTTCTCTCTCCGCCTCTGCCTGCCTCTCTGCCTGCTTGTGTGCACTCTCATCTCTCTCTCTGACAAATAAATAAAGAAATAAAATCTTTAAAAAAAAGGTTCAGGGGCACCTGGATGGCTCAGTGGGTTAAAGCCTCTGCCTTCGGTTCAGGTCATGATCCCAGGGTCCTGGGATCGAGCCCCACATCAGGCTCTCTGCTCAGCAGGGAGCCTGCTTCCTCCTCTCTCTCTGCCTGCCTCTCTGCCTACTTGTGATCTCTGTCTGTCAAATAAATAAATAAAATCTTTAAAAAAAAAAAAAAAAGGTTCAATTTCACTGTTAAAAACTGCAAATTAAAACAATGAGATTTCCTTCACCTAACTGGCAACTTTTTTAAAATTTTTTATTTTTTAAAGATTTTATTCATTTATTTGTCAGAAAGAGAGAGAAAGCACACAAGCAGGCAGAGAGGCAGGCAGAGGCGGAGAGAGAGGCAGGCTCTCTGCTGAGCAAGAAGCCGGATGCGGGACTCGATCCCAGGACCCTGGGATCATGGCCCCAGCCAAAGGCAGCGGCTTAACCCACTGAGCCACCCAGGCATCCCCTAACTGGCAAATTTTTTAAAGGTTTATAGTATTTAGCTCTCCAATACTTTGGGTGAACATACTCTGATTCTTTATCCAATGTTCACCCATTTAACAATTTGAGCAGCCACTATATGCCTGACTGACCATGTGCTTATAACAAACCAATCACAAAGGCCACACTGTAGTAGGGAATTAATCAGTTCAATTTTTCTGGAAAGTAATTTTATAGTATACTCTACTATAGTAATTTTATGTTGACAATTTAAAAATATATATCCTTGAACAAGCAATTCCTAGATTTATCTCACTGAAATAATGACAAATACCATGTGTCACATACATATATACCTGATCAATATCCATGAGAGCATCTATGGAATAGCTATGCAAATACCAAGAGATACTATCAAGTTAAAAACAAAAATGTAGAAAAAGTAGTTTATCCCATTTCCATAAAGCAAAATAGTATTTATCAAATGTGTGCTAAAGAAAAAACCCAGAATGTTAACAATGGTTATCTCTAGGAGCAAGATGACAAATATTTTTACTTTTTCTTTTTTTTTTTTTAAGATTTTATTTATTTATTTAGGAGAGGGAGTCAGTGAGAGAAAGAGAGAGAACACAAGGTGGGGGCGAGGGGAGGAGAAGCAGACTCCCCACTGAGCAGGGAGCTCCCTGGGATCATGACCTGAGCCAAAGGCAGACATTTAACCAACTGAGTCACCCAGGCGCCCCAGTATTTTTACTTTTTGCACTACAACCTCAACTGTATTTTCATCACTACAGTCAAACACCAAAAAATCTTACTGGCGCTCTGGAGTCAGACCTGAATTCAACGGGCCCATTACCACTAGACGGGTGACACTGGAGAAATAACCTACATTCCCTAAATCCTACTTTCCCTCAGCTGGAAAATGAGGATAATAACGCATCTACAGGAGGGGACATTTTGATGATTAAAAGAGATAGCGCATATAAGGCCTCGGAGTGGAGTAAAGGCCGTGGAGTCTCTGGCACAAAGTTGTAAGAGGTACCAACTGGCTGGCATCACCAACATCTTTCCAAGTACCAGTCCGTATGTTCCTGAACTGTCCATCTTCTTCCATCTACATACAAACTCAGAAGCGCTTTCTGGTAGGCAAATTAACAGCCCTATTAAATATAAACTTTAAAATTAAATTGCTCCACATCAGAGTCCTAACAATGCTCAAATACTTACACATATAAAGACTAATCACATCTATTGTCACTTATTCTATTAGGCTTTTAAATATTTACTCTGTACATACAGAAAGCATAATTTAAGTTGACTAATTTAATGCCACATTCCAGCCTCATGATTTTACAGCTGCATTCTGTAACAACAGTTTTGGCCTTTGGACCAGCTGCATCAAAATCGTCCCATTCAGGGGCGCCTGGGTGGCTCAGTGGGTTAAAGCTTCTGCCTTCGGCTCAGGTCATGATCCCAGGGGTCCTGGGATGGAGCCCCACATCGGGGACTCTCTGCTCAGTGGGGAGCCTACTTTCCCCCCACCCCCACCCCCGCCTGCCTCTCTGCCTACTTGTGATCTCTGTCAAATAAATAAACGGAATCTTAAAAAAAAAAAAAAAAGTCCCATTCAGAGACTGATTCACCATGGGGTGCCTTCTGGAGTTCTGCAATGTAGTGGCCTTAGGCCCAGAGCCTAATTTAAAATAAGATTCACAGGTAATTCTTACGCATGCTAACCCTGAAGAATCACTGATGTACTAGAAGGGTGCCTTAAGCAGATTTTAAACTTTGCATTCCAGAGGATGCACTACAATATCGTTGCGTAAGATGAAAATAATGCATCCTCACTTGGCTCAACAAGGAAAAAGCCAATTTTGACAAATAAAACCAAGGGCTCTCAACAGTCTTTCAGTAGTGCCAGAAAGTTCTTCTGAATTAAGCAAGTAACTATTAATTTCTCTCAGGAGAGCACGGTGGGTCTCTTTTCTGTATTACTTAATTTCTCCAAAATCTATTACTCTTCTGTTCTAGTTAACAATCAGAACTGCTGCCGCACAACAGGCAACAAAACAGATTTTTCTCAGAAAAACTGCTAAGTACCATCAACCAGTAGTATTTAAAACCTAGCAATCCCTCAAATCTGAATACACTTGCTAAGGAAGTAAACGGCCTCAGGCATTTGAATGCTCGCTTTTAGTATCAAAGAAAGCCGATTAGAAGAATTAACTTCATTTTTTATTTGGGGAATTCAGAAAATTTTGAACCAGGGGAGGAGCAATGGAACACACAGTTATTCCTTTCTACCAAAAAAACCCCAACAGCAATAACAAAGATGCCTGATTAAAAGAACCCTGGCGAAGAATAAATTCATACTGTCACAATGGGCAAGTTTTAATTAATTCACCTATGGCCTAAAATTCTATTCCCTCAAATATTTCATGTTACCTTAATTCTATTGTAATATAGGTCTATGGTTGGTTTTTGTTTTTTTTTTTTTTTTAACATGAACTACTCCAACTAAAAGCCAAAAAAAAAAGTCATACAAGCCCCCAATTGACCCAATCTTCCTTAACCAATATAAGAGAGACACAGAAAGAAAAGCGTAAGCAGGCACAAAAGCAGAATGTCAAAATAAAGAGAACTAAAACACAAATAACACAAGCAAGCTACACTTGTGACCCTGTGGCAGTACTGATCACGTAGGGATGAATTCAATCCTCTGAGCCTCCCAGTTCCCAGGGGGAGAACTTCAAGTCTCGCAGGGCTGACTGAAGCCCACGCTTCAAAGTGAAGGATAAAGCAGGAAAAGAGGGGATCTTCCCCGGAGAGAAAACGGAATCTTTACATGAGGGAGAAGACAAACTGCACCAAAGGGCAGAAAAATTATGTCGAAGAGGGGACAAAAAGGAGGAAGGGGAAGTAGATTAGAAAAAAAAAAAGGGGGGGGGGATGGATGGGCAAATGACTTGCATTACACAAGTAAGTATCTAATGTCCGCAGTGAAAATAGAAGTAGAAAGGGAAGGCAACGCCTGGAGAAGGATACATCGAAAGAGAGACAGGAAAGCCAAAGAGAGAACGCTAACTTCTTTCCTGTGTCTTCTGGACTCTTTTCTGAGTCCACAGCACCAAACGATAGATGTCGAGTGCACTTCGGCTCCTCTGCAAACCCAACTTTTATGACTCCCTCAACAAGCTATAGAACTCATGTGGCTTCTACGGAAAGCCTTACAGATGAAAAATACCGGTGCTTCTCTATCCCCCCGCACTGAGATCCTTCCTCGGGGCATTCCAACCAACTGCTGCTTATTGTTCTTTACAATTATTTTTCAGAGCAGCTTCAAAAAAAAAAAAAAAGACATCTCGACTGGCTCTGGCAGCAAAGGTTCTAACTCAACGGTATTCATACGGTTGGTGGGTTCCCTCCCCAAATTCGGCCCAAGGACACCAGAAGATGGTGACGTGGTGGCCGTGCAGGTCGCAAGAGCATCAATCACCACATTTGCAGCCGCTGCGAATCCCCCGCCTCCCGGGCCAAGTCAGACTGACTCACAGAATGAGTACCCAGGGCTCCCCGGCTTCTCCCGACCCCTCTGCGCAAACCCTCGGGAAGAAAGCGTGAAACTTAACGAGGAGCCCCCCGCCTCCCGCCCCCCAGGGTCCGGGGCTCTGCACCGAGCTAAGGGCCGGGGGAGGACAGTCCCCAGGAAGGAAGCGCCCCAAAAGGGGAAACGCGGAGCCCGGGAGCCCCAGGGACTCCGTTCCCCGCCCCAGGCCTCGCCGTCCCGAACCCGAGCCCTGGGTAGGCTGGGCCCGGCGGGCCGACTCTCGCTGCCGAGCGAGGGGGAAGAGGCACCGGAGCAGCGCCGCCCGCCGCACTCACCGTGGCGCAGCTGCTCCGCTCCGCGCCCGGCCGGCCCCTCTGCAGCGGTGCGAGCGGCCGCCGACCGCGCTGCTGCTCCCCGAGGGCAGCGCCTGTCCCCGCCGCGGCCGCCGCCTCAGTGTTCGTCGCCGCTGCCGCCGCTACCGCCGCCGCCGCCGCCCGCTCGCCGAAGCAGCACAGCCGCCTGGCTTCCGCTCCTCCTCGGGGTCCCGCGAGAACTTCCCCGCGCGGCCCCGCCCCGCCCTGCCCCGCCCCCGCGAGACTTCCCCCGGCGGAAAAGGCCCAGAGCGCAAGCGCTCCTCCTGGGCTCGGGCCCCGCAGGTAGCCACCATCTAGATGCCCAGGCGCGTGCGCCAGACCGCCCCGGAGCAGGTGGCACAGACATGGCTCCGCCTCCGGGTCGCTGTAACCCTCTCTGTGCCTAGACGGGTCAATTACAGCTTAGCCCCGAAGGCGTAACTCTTCACCACACCCTAATCACTTCCCTTCTCCTGCGGGGGGTGGGGTGCGGGAATCTCCCTCCACCCTGAAACACTCCAAATAGACGACCAGCTTTTGAAATACTTGAGAACGTGGGCCAAACTGCAGTGTTAGAGGAATTAACATATTCTTCGCTCGCTTATCTAATCAAGCGCCTACTATGTGCTAATCATAGGTATAGGTACAGGTGTTGGGTGTAGAAGGCACAGTGAGGAACAGGTATCCTGGCACGCAAGGAATTCGCGGTCTGGAGGAGCGGAAGAAGTAAACAAACAGATGCCATATGCAATGTTAGAATTATTTGGGGGAATGCTGAGGAAGCTAAAAAAGATGGGGGGAAGGACGCTACTCTGCCCATATTAGAACAGCCTTCCCAGAGAAGGTGATGATGACGTCTGAGCTGAGTCTTGGAGGGCGAGTAGGAGTTCACTAGACAGAGAAGTCCGGGTAAGAGCGCTCCAGGAGAAGGGAACGGCACGCACGCCCAAAGGAGCAGAGGCGGGAGAGTCCTGTTCTGTGTAATGCTAAGTAGTTCGATTCCTGTAGCAGGCGGGTGAGTACGGGGGAGCAGCAGACGAGGCTTGAAGAAGTAACTCCTATTTTTCAGTTCCAAAAGCTCTTTCTAATTAAAGAGAACAGAACGTATCTCATGGTAATGTGCTCCCTGGAAGCCAACAGAATAGTGCTGCGATGAGAATAACCAGCCGTCTGATTCTGCAGAGAAAAGAAGCCACTGAAATAAGGAAAATGAGTTGTTCTCTCACCGGGCATTTTTTGAGCACCAACTGTATTCAAGGCAGTTTGCAAGGTAATAGATGAACCTACCAAAGCCTCTGCTTTCAGCAATTTGTAATTCACAGGAGAGCCGCCAGTTCTGCAAGGCAAAAGAGCAGGCCTTAAGTCCCACTGAAATGCATACAGGACCCCAGAGGAGGGAGTCAGTTACTTAGTGCTCAGGTAATCAGGGAGGACTTGTGTTTGAACTGCAACCTGGAAGCTGGGAGGAAAGACTGACGGAATTAGCCAATATGTTAGATTGCCCAGATTTTAAGATTTGGGGTGGGATGGGGGAAGTAATGAGAGACAAGGCCAAGATGTATGGCTTAGGGTTCATGGTCAAGTGATTAGCAACCTCTGAAGGTTTTTGAGCAGGACATGTCCAATATGTAGTAAAAATAATAAGAGGGTTATCTATTTACCACCTGAAGTGTATGGTGTTTCTAGAGGGTGGATAATAAGTATTCCCATTTACAGACTCAGAACTGAGGCTTAGAGAGCTTCCTGACATGACCCAAGAAAACCCTAGTAGACCCAAGACTTGAACCTATCTTGTTCTAAAATCCGTATTTTCCCCACTATGATACTTAATAATTACTTAGTAATTCCAAAATGGTGGCCAGGAAAAAAATAGAAATGGAAGGGAAGGACTTAGCTCCTGAGCAGAGAGGAGGAGGAAGTGAGGGAAAAGTTGGATTTCTTTGTTTTGAGTGGGGAGAACAACAGAGAAGTGCGCCAGCGAAGAGGAGTACCTAACAGGGCAGGGGTGGGGTGATGCAGGGAGGAGGCAGGGAAGGAGATGATGATGTCTAGTTTTGGACGTGTAGAGTTCATCGTCCTAGGAGACATGCAGGTGGAAATATCAGTGTGCTGTTGAAAAGGTCAGTGTATTCATTCATTTTCCCTACATCAGTTGAGCATCTACTTTGTAGAGAACAGGATTACCTGTCACAGGGAGGGGAAGATACCATTGGGAGTATGACATTTGCAGTAGTGGCAACTTTGGGAACATATGGCAGGGGACCTGACCTAGCCCAGGATCAGGGAAGTTCTGAAGAGGAAGGTTTGAGACTCCAGTTAGCCCAAGAGGCAAATAGTGTTCCAGGAGAGGGTGCAGCATGTACAAAGGGCAGATGGTAAGAAAGGATTCAAGGAAGCCATTTATAACTGGGATGAAGAAGAATGTGGCACGTTGGGTAAGGCATTTGGAGAGGCTCCCGCAGGGCCTTTTCACACTCTCTGTCTCTAGCCAACACACACTTCACCAAAACTAAACCACTGTGGTTTCCAGAAGGTACCATAATCTTTGGAGCATCCATATCTTGGTATATGCAGTTTCTTCTGCTCAGTTGGCCTCCTGCCCCCCACTTTTTAGACACCGAAGCCAGTTTAAGGGTTTCTTCCTCAAAATTCCCACTGTACCTCAATCTCATTGCCGTCTTATTTGTTCAAAGCCTTCCTTCCCAAGTTCTACCAGCTCTCAGAGAAACAGAACCGTACCTCTGCACATTTGTAGTCCCAGCCCCCAGCACAGTGCATGGAGTGAATAAATGGACACCTAGAGAATAAATAACAGAAGTTGACTCGAGATAAAGATGTGGTGGCTTTTCTGTGCCATGTGATATTTGAAGCTAAGGAAGTGGGTGAGATCTCAGAAGAGTATAGAAGCCTAAGAGAACAGGAAAAAAAAAGTATGCACTTCCTTTTAAAATGCAGCATTGATAAAACAGACTCTGAGTATGTCTATGCAAAAATATATGCATATGGACCAGATTTGGAAGGGAACATTTAAAGTAAAAACAATTGTCTGGAAATGAAGCAATGGTGGGCGGTGTATTTAAAAAAGGGAAAAAAAAGCCAACAAAACACAAAACCTTCAACATTTGTTACATTGTCTTTTCTACAAAAAAAAAATTATTTTCTGCAAACAACTCAGAAACTTGAGAGAATGTTGCCCAAGATCATTCCATGTAGAGAAGAAACAAACCAAAAAACACAAAAAAACACTAGAGGCAATAGTTTGAATGTGTGTGGCTCATGTTAAATCTCAAAAAGATACTGGAGTAAGAAGCAATTTGCAAAGTCAAAGTCACATCCTGGCATGAAAACCTATTGTAACTGTAGCAAAACTTGCTGATAACAAACTGGCCACATCAGTCACTTCAGAATGCACAAATTAATCACCCAAAAGTCTCTCCTTTCGGTTGGGGTTTGCGGGTTGTTTTTTTTTTTTTTTAGTCGTCGAAAATGGTTTCTCGCTTTGCTCTCTGTGAGTTGCGGTGCTGCCGCCTGCCGGTAATAACTGGACATTACCCTGACATTTAATGCGCCTCCAGCTGTCTCAGGCTCATCCTCTGAGCCCACATTGCTGAGCGTGGGAAAGAATCAGACAACCAGTGGCAGCCTAAATTTGGTCATTGAAATTCTACTGTCACCTGCTCAGCTGATCTTGGAAGTTCTCATCTTAGAATTTCCTTTGGTTAACTTGTGAGCCAAGGCTTCCGTGGCTTCTCAAGCCTTGAAGGTGACCTTGGACGTTGAGCCTACCAGGCGGACACCTAGTCCTGCGGCTTCCCTTCCTCTATCTCCTGACTCCATTTCTATCACCTAACCTGTCCACATCACCATTGTTCCTCCTTACTGAAGATCCTGCCCCACCCCCCAAATCATTCTCTGCACTGCAACCACAATGGGCTTTCTAAACTTCAAACTGAATTGGAGTCACAGATAAGGTCCAAAGTCCTTAGCATATCCCCCAAAGCCCTCTGTGGCTGGTCTTTTGTTTCTATGCTTCCGAATGACTGCAGTTTCCTGAATAACTCTATAGTTCTCTCACTTCCTCTCCCTGCCTTCTCCATCACCACCTGTCTCCTACCTGTCCTTTAATACTCAGCTCAGGTGCCACCTCCACCGGGAAGGCTCCCATGATGCACTGGTTCCACTAATAGCACCCTCCAACATATTGCATCCTCACCACATTCTTTTTTTTTTTCCCCAAGATTTTACTTATTTATTTGACAGAGAGATAGAGAGAGAGCACAAGTAAGCAAAGCGGCAGGTAGAAGGAGAGAGAGAAGCAGGCTCTCTGCTGAGCAGGGAGCCTGATGTGGGGCTCCATCCCAGAACCCTGGAATCATGACCTGAGCCGAAGGCAGAGGCTTAACGACTGAGCCACCCAGGCACCCCCACATTCTTTTTTTTTTTTTTTTTTTTGATACAGAGAGAGAGATCACAAGTAGGCAGAGAGGCAGGCAGAGAGAGAGGGGGAAGCAGGCTCCCTGCTGAGCAGAGAGCTCGGTGCGGGTGCGGGGCTCAATCCCAGGACCCTGAGATCATGACCTGAGTTGAAGGCAGAGGCTTAACCCACTGAGCCACCCGGCGCCCCCATCACCACATTCTTAGGACCATATGTTGGCCATCAACTTACTTGTCCTTCTCCCCTTTAAACTATGAGTTCTTCAAGAAGAGGTGCCACATCTTGTTTTTCTTGTCTCCCCAAATAAAGCCTGACTCTAAATAATATGACCCGGCATGACAAGTGCTCCAAGAGCACGGAGACTCATTGTTAAAGGAACCTAGGAGAGAGAGAGAGAGATAAACTGAGGGCAGAAAGTCCAAGAAGCCTTCATGGAGGAGGTGGTAACTAAGTTGTCTTGAAGAATAGCTTGTGTTCCATTAGGTAGAATCAATGGAGGCTCCTCGAGACCAAAGAGCAAGTTTTTAAGATGAAGAAAAGGGCCAAAAGTTCTTGTTTAATGTTCTCATATTTTAATACACAGGAGAATATATAATTATACAGATCTGGGGATCTGTGTAAATTGCAAATTCCAGTATCCCAGAAATATACAACTCATTAGGTCTGAGAAGGGCCCAGAAATACGCA